TCTGGTTTGGGTATTAAGGTGATACTGGTTTCATAAAAAAGAATTTTCTATTTTACAAAATAGTTTGAGGAGTATAGGTGTTAGTTCTTCTTTGAAGGTTTGGTAGAATCCTGGTTTCTTTAGTTGGGAGATTTTAAATTACTGTTCCATCTCATTGGTTGTTATGTTATTTAAATTAATTACTTCATCTTGATTTAACTTTGTTAGATCTTATATACCTAAAAATCCATCCACTGCTTTTAGATTTTCTAGTTTAGTTGATAGGTTTTTAAATTGTGTCTTAATGATTTTCTGAATTCTTCAGGGTCTGTTGCAATATTCCCCTTTTCATTTCTGATTTTTATTAATTCAAACCATTACTCAAGATAAAAAGTCCCCCTTCATGACAAAATCAGGGAGAAACTAGAGCTACAAAGGGCACTTATAAACATATAAAGGCCTTATACAAAAAGGCTGCAGTCAACATGATGCTGAACAGAGAACTAAAAGCATTTCCACTAAACTCAGGAAAGTGACAAGAATGTCCACTCTATCGATTCCTATTTAGTAAAGCGCTTGAAGTCTTAGATACAACAATAATACAAGTGAAGAAGATAAAGGGGATATGAACTAGAAAGGAAAAAAAATCTTAGTTTGTAGATGATATGATTCTTTTCATAAAAGAACCTAAAGACTCCAGCAGAAAACTTCAGGAACTGATAAACATATTAAGCAAAGGGGCAGGATACAAAATTAACATTCAAAAATCAGTAGCTTTCCTATACATATATATGAAAACAAACACACTGAGAAAGAAACCAGGGAAATGATCCCATTCACTATAGCCTCAAAAAACATGAAATTTCTTGGAATAAATCTAAGCAAGAAAGGGAAGGACATGCATAATAAGAACTTTAAGAAACTGAAGAAAGAAACAGAGGAAGTTACCATAAAATGAAAAGATTTCCTATTAAACGATCAGTAAGATTAACATTGTGGAAATGATTATCCTACTGCAAGTAATCTATATTCAATGAAATACCCATCAAAATTTCAATAAAATTCTTCACAAAAACTGAAAAAATAATCTCAAATTTCATATGGAAACAGAAAAACATTTATGATATCAAAACAATACTGAGCAACAAAAAACCTGGAGGTACCACAATCTCTGATTTCAAATTGTACTACAAAACTATAGTAATTAAAGCAGCATGGTATTGTCATTAAAAACAGACTAATAAATGGAATAGAATTAAAGACCCAGAATTAATTCCACAGACTTACAGCCAGATGAGTTTTGATACAGGGTTCAAAAATACAAAATGGAGAAAAGACAGTATCTTCAACAAATGGTGCTGGTTAAACTGGGTAGTTACCAGTAGAAAAATAAAACTAGATTCCTTTCTTTGAACAAAATTTCAACTTCAAATGGACCAAGGACCTTAACACATAAGATCTGATACCCTGAATCTGGTAGAGGAAAAAGTAGGAATACACTATCTGAACAGAATACCAGTAGCACAGACATTAAGTCTATTTATTGATAAATGGGACCTCATAAAACTAAAAAACTTCTGTACATCAAAGGACACCATCATTTGAGTAAAGAGGCAGCCTAGAAAAAAAAATCTTTATTAACTATTTATCTGTCAGAAGGTTAGTGTCAAAGAACTCAAAATCCTGAAGATCAAAAACACAAACCACCCAATTAAAAATTAAATTAAACAGCGTTCTTAAAAGATGAAATGCAAATAACTGAGAAAATCTTTTTACAAAATTGAGCTTCTTTTAGGGATTAGGGAAATTCAAATTAGAACTAATTTGAGAGTTCATTTTATCCCAGTCAGAATCACTAAGATCAAAAAATAAATAACAAATGCTGGCATGGATTTGGTGAAAGGGGAGCCCTTATTCACTACTAGTGTGATTGCAAAAAATCAACTGTGGAAATCAATGTGGAATTCCTTTAAAAAAAAAGTCAGAAAGAGCTCTGCTAGATAATCCGGCTATAATTCTCTTGGGCTTACACCCAAAGGACGCTATCCTACCACAAAGACACCTGCTCATCTATATTGCTGCTGTATTCACAACAGCCAGGAAATGGAAGCAAAGTAGATGTTCATTAGCTGATAAACAGATAATGAAAATATTATGCATTTACACTAGAGTATTACTTAACACTTAAGAGAAACAAAACTATAAAATTTACAGGTAAATGGATGGCAATGGAAATAGTCACCTGAATGAGGTAACCCAGACCCAGGAATACAAATGTCATTTGTTCTCTCATAAATGGATGCTACCTTTGAATCTTTGGACATGTATGTATCATTGAAAAATCCATAGAGGCCAGGAAACTAATAACAGGCCATTGGGGGACAGGGGTCATGGGAAGGGTGATGGAATGCAGTGAGAGGAAAGAGGAAAAGGGAATAATGAAATAGGAAAGATTAAATGGGGTAGGAAATGGGAGGGTACAGTAGAGAAGGAAATATGGGAAGGAATAATTAACACTAAAGACCTTTTGAAAAAGTCATATGAAAACCTACTACTGAAGAAGCTTCTTAAAATATATAGCTGGGCACTGGGGTCAAGCACTTGAGAGACAGAGACAAGCAGGTATCTGTGAGATCAAGGCCAGCACGGTCTACATAGCAAGTGTCAGGCCAGTTGAGGCTATAGTGAGACCCTGCCAAAAAGTATGAACACACACACACACACACACACACACACACACACACACACACAC